AGCCGACAAGAAAATTAGTAGTGTTGCAATCTGTTGCTTTTTAATGTACCATATCAATTATCCAATTTTTTAAAGCCTTTAAATGTCACTTTAAGCTGTATAGAAGTGTCTTGAAAAAATGTATAGTCAAATATTATTTACTGTCATCATGGCGAAGATAAAATAAATCAGTTATTAGAGATGAGTTACTAAAACTATTATGTTTAGAAATAAGGGCGACACGGTGGCACAGTGGGTAGAACGTTCGCCTCACAGCAAGAAGGTCCCTGGTTCGAGCATCGGCTGGGTAAGTTGGCGTTTCTGTGTTTAGTTTGCCTGTTCTCCCCATGTTAGCGTGGCTTTCCTCTGGGTGCTCCGGTTTCCCCCACAGTCCAAAGACATGTGGTATAGGTGAATTGGGTAGACTAAATTGTCCGTAGTGTATGTGTGTGTGTGTGTGTGTGTGTGAATGAGTGTTTGTGGATGTTTCCCAGTGATGGGTTGCGGCTGGAAGGGCATCCGCTGTGTAAAAGATGTGCTGGATAAGTTGGCGGTTCATTCCGCTGTGGTGACCCCAGATTAATAAAGGCACTAAGCCGAAAATAGAATGAATGTTTATAAATGTGATGAAAAACTCTTCTCTCCGTTAAACAGAAATTGGGGCAAAAATTAAACAGGGGGGCTAAAAATTCTGACTTCAACTGTATATATGAATATATCAACAATTCAAATAAATAGAGAAACTCAACTGGCAGGCAGGAGTTAACAGAGAGAGTTGACTTCCGTACTTGGGGGTTGGTAGATTTAAAGTTACAGAGAGATTATTATAACCATCCATCTAGGATTCATTAATACATATTAAATAAGCTCTCAGCTGATGTGCACTGGTAAAGAACGATCTGTAATATCACACGACAGTTCACTTTTTTTTTTAAAATCATTTACTATTTTTATGTATTTATTTATTTAAGGAAGCTGAAGGGTGTCGGTATGAAAAACTTCCCAAATCCAGACCTTCTGTATTTTTTTTTTTTTTTTACATATGTTTAAATGAGAAATCATCAAGGACAAAAAAGTAAAATTAAAATGAAAATATTTATTGTATACACTTACATTTAAGAGAATAAATACATTATTGGCATATCATTATATCCACTGAAGTAAGAAATGCAGC